TTTTAAACCATAACGCCCTCTAAAGTCGTTATTTCTCCATCTTTCCAGTCGCATTATGTTGAACACAACATGAGCTATTTATGTGTTTACAAAACTAATCAATTGATGTAATTTGTCAAGTATTCATGTATGTATATTTCCGGTTATTGTGAGTATATATGAGATATATAGCACATAATCTTGAGTAAATAATCACTACACAAAAACTAACATTATTGAATATTTATAGTTATATTACACCATTGCCAATACCAGTGAATTTTATGACGTCATCAGTGACTATGGTGTATTCTCACTACCTGCACCTAGGCCCCGAAGCATGTATGTGCATACAATGTATTTGAAAATACGGAAGAGTATATCTTGCACGCTTCAGACACGCCCACAATTATATCCAGTCAGCGGTAAGAAATGCGCCATCTACGTTGTATGTCTCATTGGCATACAGGTGAACTAAAAACGAATGGCGAATCCTCGAATATATGATCTTTTCTCTCCCGTCAGCGGTTTTCATGGGTTGAAATTAGACTTTTTTTAGTATGTGTGCTAGTGTCATTTTTTTTCTCGTACTACTTGCTCGACATTTGGTACTGTACCAGTCACTAATACACTCACAATGTATGTGATTACATTTCTGATATAACAAAACACATTTCTTTTCCATTTCACCGTAAGAGAACGTGAATGCCCGGATGGAATGCATTTCAAGAATTACGTTTTCAATTAGGCAGATTTCAGGTACAGTGGCAGTTTTTTTGTTCGCTTTGAACTTTGCTTCTCGTCTTCTGCTTTATAATAGCAGCGAATTCAGTGGTATTGGCAATGCTAAAAAATTATAACAAAAATGAACCCGCAACCTATAATAAACTGAAGTACACTTTGTGCCCCGTATATGTGCTCGACCATAATACGATGGCACTATGGACGTATCATACTGGAATATTGGGTTTGACATATTAGAATGAAGTACCTGTATTATAAAAGAGATTGAATTGTCATACTATAGAGCTGGACGTATCATATTGGAATATCGGGTCTGACATATGAAGTACCTGTCGTAAAAGAGAGGTTGAACTTCACACTATAGTGCCAGAAGTATAATATTTGAATATCCGGCCTGCCATAAAAGGATGTTTGACATGTCATATTGGAATAATGGGTCAGTCACGATAGGATGATGGGCCTGATATGAGAATGATGGGTCAAATTAGGATTGATAGACATGCCATATTAGAATGCTGGGTCTGTCATATTGGAATGTCGAGTATGTCATATTCAAATGCTGGTTCTTAAATATTATAATGAGAAGTATGCTATAAAGAATTGTGGATCTGTCGTGTCAATTTGAAAATAAGGCACGTCAAGTTATGATGATGTGGTGGCCATAAAATGATGATGGTAATATCATATATAGATGACAGGCGCATCATATACAGATGACATGCGCATCATATACAGATGACATGCGCATCATATACAGATGACAGGTGCATCATATACAGATGACAGGTGCATCATATCAGGATGGTGGAAAGGTAGGCCATTTTAAAATGACAAGGGAGGAACTATGGTAAGACTACTATGTAATTGTCCGTGTCATACTGGAATGCTGGACATCATGGCATTGGAGTCTTTGTCGGCTCTCCTTCTCCAGGTGGTGGCGATGTTGTTGTTGGTGGTCCATTCGGGGGGTATGTTCCATCATTCGGTGCTGCATAATTATACTGTCCCGAAGTCACCACGCCATATGGAGGTGGTTGTTGTGCATATGCCGGGGCCGGAGCATAACTGCAGATGAAATTGTACAAGGATGTTACTTCAAGAATGTGTCGTTTCAAATATGTGAAGGTATAATATTAGCTCTCCATTCTATTTATGTATGATTCTACATGCTGGATTTATTTTATATATAATTTCTACTGTATTATGTAACGGTTTATTCTGTTCTCAAATATCACATTATGCATGCAAACTGGCTTGTCTCAGTAGACAACAATGGTTTACTTATATTATTATTATTATTATTATTATTATTATTATTATTATTATTATTATTATTATTATTATTATTATTATTATTATTATTATTATTATTATTAACATGGATATACTAACGGCTGTGGTTGTGGATACGGGTCATTCATTCCCGGTGCTGCAGTTCCCGGATATGGTCCGCTGTATGCAGGAACAATCGATTGTCCATAGTTCATTTGTGTGGTATTACTAGAAACAACGACGGTTCCTGCTCCACTCTGCTGAGTCTGGAGGACGGTAATATGTCTCGCCCTTTGTTGAGCTGTGCAGATATAAACCGAGCCGAAGATTATCAGAATTATTCCCCCGAAGAAGAGAATACCACCAACGTAGATCGTTCCGAATAGTACGACTCCCAGTATTACAGATACGACCACCATACTGATACCAACGCCAAGCATTATGAATCCACGCGTGCGTCGCTGCCGAGCAATAGCGTCAACATCCATTTTCGGTTTGCAGTGTCTGATAAAGTGAGGAGAAAGCGGAGAGACATTTATATAGAGGTTACACGTGTTCAATAGTATAATAACTAGTTTATAATTGTCGTAATTAGCATATTGCAAACGGAAATGAGCATTTAATCAACGACTAGTGACGCGCTAGTCAACTGTATGCAAGAGCTTATTGGTTAAAATTGTCGTGTTTCATTTCTTGTGATGTAAATTAGGACACTTATGTTTTAACCATGAATGCAGACTACTAGTATATCATGATACTTAAAATACAATGATGTAATAACGATTTAGGCAATGTTCTACTGTTACGTGTAATCAATGTTACTAATTAAACCACACTACACATCAGTTAAATTACTACATGTAGTATCACAACTGTGCATGCATTTGAATATGGTCAATGACCGCGCAATGACGTTTCTCTGTAGAGTCCAATTGTACGTATATCACACCTCTAGAGACAGGTAAACATATTTCTTCTGTCGCGTTCAATTTGAGAATCCGAGTTCTGATTAACACACATTAGAGTAAGTACTCCATTTCATCCGTGGAGGCGGCACGAGGGGTGCCCCCCAAAAAATATTTGGGAAAATCAAGCTGAAACCTTTTTCTGTCAGCAAAATTTGCCCCTCAAAATGCAGAGGAAATAGCGTTTCAGAGGGTCTAGATGCCACGGACCCCCTAGTAAGGTCATGCGGAAGGCGCGAAGAATGGTGAGCAGACCCCCCCCCCCCCCGTGCAAAATTGTGTACCGCCGCCTCTGTTCATGTACGTTGTGTGTCCCATACGACGTGTACAACAAGTGTAAACACGAAATGCAAACGACCCTGAATTATTAACTCGTACTTCTCGGGGGTACTCGCGAGAGTTGAAAACACGGGAATAGTATAATTCGACATTTAGTCTAAAATGGTGGTTCAAAGTTGTACATTTTTACATGAAAACTCAACAGGGTTATTTATTGAGGAAATTGGAGCATATGTACAAGGCAGAATTTAATTTAACGTCGAAAAAAAAAACAGTTAACAAACAAGGTGCCCTCTGATTGGTTTGACTGTTACGTGTTAGGGTTGCGTAGCCAATCAGACAATTCGACAAGTATTTTCACAATGACTCTCAAAGTTCAGCATCATACATGACCCTAAACGAGGGAACTTTACCCGGCATAGTTTGTGAAAAGAAGATCTAAAATGCTGAAAGGTAATCTTTACATCGGTACCATACGTATTCATTTTGTTTTTCTACTTGAGTATGCCACCATTTATAATTTAATCTAAATAGGGTATTCATAAAAACAGCGATACATCAAATCTGACACACGAGAGTGTGTTTAACACTCAATATACGTTGCTAGTTGTATTTCAAATTGTTCACCTTATCATGTTGAGCAACCCTGCACTAATCGACTGTAATAAAAAATATTCAAGAATTTGTCGGGAATTTATAAAACAGTCCTATGACCCCGTCTATACAAAACTAACAAAGAGCCGGTAACCAAGCGTATCATGTTGTGACCGACTGATTTCGGGGTCGGCGTTTTCAATTGTATGTGCATGACTGTCCCATTATGACTTAAGGCAATGACGTCACGACTCTTGAACAACCGATCGCCATCTTGTGTCCGAAGTAATTTCTGTTGTAGTTCCGTGTTGAATTTCTCCCACTACACAAATCACCTTGAATATATTAATAGCGCATCCAAATAAGCAGGCTGCGTACATATATTAATTCAAAATCGAAAGTTGATAGTAATTCTTTTTACTAAAATCTAGTAAACGGTGAACTACCATATTTCGAAGATATTGGCGCATGTACGTGAGGTGTGTTTGTTCTTAAGAATCAATCACCGTCAGATCAGCGTTGGCTCCGAAACAATGACGTTCCGCGTCACGTGCGTTTTTCAAATCAGAAACTTACCTTCTATCACGGGTAACAATTTCCTGTTAGATAAGCGACGGCTTAATCGGTGTCTTTTTAACTTACACACAGGTCACGCTCGATGGTGTTCGGTCTATAGTCTCACCAACCCGTCCTTTATTTGCTTTTCAGCAAATATGAATAATCATAAATTTTTCTTATTTATGATATTCTGACAGGTATTTTGTCTGCGTTGCCACCGTGCGCTCAGATGACGTCGATGACTACCTGACCCGACTACGAGGAAGTTTATCACGTGACACCAAATAGGTTGAAACGGGTCATTGGGTGCTCAAAACAGAAAGAAAAAAACTTACCCAAGTTTCTAATCGCATACCTGTGACCCATTACCCAGGTGTCGTAACCGTGACTGATAACAATAGTAAATATTTATTGGACAACAACTAAAAATGAATAGTCAATGAAGAACTAAGCGTCATCGCAAATGATATGAAGACTTAGACACACCTATAATCATTGAGTTTTTATACATTGAGCTCATATTGACCTTTGAACTGTAAGGGCCATCATTAAATAGAAGCGCACTATTATTATAACAATCATATACTACGCTGTGTAGTATATTTATTATACCTTTGTCACAGACGTCAGTCGTCGCTACGCAACGGAATATCGGAGTCATATTATGTTGATTTTCTACTGGGATGCGGACAGTTGTTATTGAGCTACTTGTCAGCATTATATGAAAAGGAAGGTCAACAACCGAATAGAAATAAATGTATTTATTTATTAAAATAAACTGCAAACTGGAAAATAGTGTGTTTAGCCGCTCTCAGTTGTCCTAGAAATGTGTACGTATATATTTACAATAACTTTTTACAAATATAAATCTTGTCATGCGAACCGGGTGGAGCTGTGTTTCGGTGTCTGTCTTAGATCGCGGATACAGAGCAGTAAAAACAACCGATGCAATATGAACAAAATTGAACATTTTTGATGTTGACTTTGGGCATGCGCAGAAACGTAAATGACGACTCTCTAATCGCAGGCCTCGACAGTAAGCAAGATGTTGTTTTATTTGTATTATGTATGCCTCCAGTGTGAAAAAAGTATTATTTTGGGCGTAGTTTTGTGGTACAACCATAGATAATTTACTACCCTTGCTATTGTCGGTGAATAGCATTATCGACTCGGATGGTGGCGCTGCGTTCATACAGGACAAACGTTTTAAAACTTTTCATAAATATACATGTGACATTGAATGCTCAGTTCGCCATATTGCATGTTTAAAGGTGTAACCACGAAGTATAATATTCTGTCTAGGTCTTGGCACTATATTGCTCTTGCTGCTCCTGTTGTTGTTCTTGTTGCTGTAGCTGTTCTTCCTGTTCCTGTTGTTGCTGTTCTTGTTGCTGTTCATCCTCCTCCTGTTCTCGCTGCTGCTGTTGTTGTTGTTCACTTGAAAAAAAAATATCAATTACTAATTATTACCGATATTTCTGGAACAATTTTAGGAGATGCGGTGCGTTATGATTTACTAAACACAATTTGTATGTCAGACTAGACAGAAAAGATTATGTATGGGTAATTCAAATTTTAATATGAGCTATGGTGGTAAATAAGAAAAAACATAAATTATTATTAATAAGTGACGTCAGACCGGCAGGTTTAGAACGCAGGTTCAGGTTACGGATTCAGATTGCTAGTGTTGCTAGTAAAGGGGGCACTGGTTCGGTCGACCCCAGTTTATTTAATTTGCATAAATCCCCATTACCATGGCAATTATGGCACTTTTATAGAATAACTAGACTGTAATGAACTCATTCGCGGCCATCTTGGAAATACTTTTGTGCACATTGAACATTGGATATGATGACATCATTATTAGCGTTTACTCGGCTGCGCATGTACGCAATAATATTTTTATGAATGTTCGAGGCGATGGGAGCATTGGATTTTTTTTATCGATCTGAGGTCTGCAAGGCTTTCCTCCCATGTGATCGTTCAGTCTGGCGGCGATAGATTCAAGACCATATATCGAATTATTTACGATCTCAACACCTGTTTTCTAAGGCGTGAAGGTCACCTGTTGAAACGGGGTAGCATAATATCTCATGGAAACAATGTCATGCTGAATTAATAAAGTTATTACTTAATTAAACAATATATAATCCTCGTTTGTTGAATTGTTTGGGGTATGTTTTTTATGTGGATCAGGGCACGGTGGGCTAATATAGCTGATATACAGTGGACGGTGGTTTTGTGGGAGGATACTGCGTTATCCAATGAACACAAGCCAATGCTGGATTAATTAATAATTAACCAACGACAAAAAATCTGAGTTTCAAGTAACAAGCTAAACATAGTGAAGGAAAAGTAGGATTTAATTGCGAAATTGTTGCCAACATTTTTTATAACGTATTTTTGTATTGTATTCACCTGCTGTGGCGTTGCCTTTTTGAGAGGAAAGTATATATATTCTCTGGAGACCAGGCCATGGTGAATTGATATGAACTGCTTTAAATCTTTTGGCGGGGGGGGGGGGTACTAGTAGTACTTTCTCTACTGAAACAAGGACATGTTAGATTAATAAAGATAGTACTTAATTCTATAAAGCATAACCCATGTTGTATTGAACGTTTGTTGAACTGGGTAGCATATTTTTCCCATGATGGCTAGGCCATGTTAGGTTAATATAATGCTGCTTTCATATATTTAATACTTTTGCTATAACAAATTTCAGAATTGTGTATTTATTATTGATGACGACTAATAACGACTATAATTATACAGTTCATTATCGTAAAATGAGCGGGCTAAAAATAATTTTGTTTGTGGAGCACCCATGGCCCGCCTCACGCAAAGGTCACCGAAATAGTTACATTTACGTAATAATAGTCGCTTAAAACTCAGTTAAAACCTATTTTACCACACCGAGACTACGGTACAAATGTATATTTAAATGCCATGTAACAGACTGAAATATTATCGGGAGTAAACTGTAACCTGTGTTATGCACTCACCGTTT